TTTAGCTTAAAAATTACTTAAAAGCACATATTTCAAGAAAATTATCTCTTTCTATCTTTATCACTCTTTATTTTAAAAAAAAGCACACAATTCAAGAAAAACAGATAAGAGCTTAAAAAAAAGCTCCTCCTAGGAGCTTTTAATTTTCAGCTTTTTTCTTCATTATAAAAAAAAGAGCTTTTCGTTATAAGAGCTTTTCCCAAAACCTGTTTGGCCTAGCTTATGCTTATAAGTAGCTTGTAGCTTAAAAAAAAGAGGATCCAAACAGGCACTTCTATTCTCAAGTAATTTTCTAATACATGGTTCATAGTTATAGGTGATGGAAAAATAGGCTTTATGACTCTGCTTTGTGCACACCAACCACCTTTCAAGGATATATTCAGCAAACAAGCCAGAGTCAAGAATTGCCCATCGCATTTGACCCATCTAATCCAATTATGAGTGATTGAGAGTCTAACTTATTCATAGAATGACTACTCATTACTGAAGCAAATTAAAAGCACATGCTATTGTGCATCATCAAGCTACCAAAGTTTATGCTAAGGTTTAATGAGATTAACTTACAGAGATTTTAGAACTAAGTTCCATATAAACCCTCTATAAAGAAATTAAATTTTAGTAGCAAATGGAAATTAAGAACTACATGATAATTTCTTTATCGCGTATAATTGATTAGCTTTTCATGGATTTTCTAAGGCGTTGACAGGTTTCTGCATGAGACAAATTTGATACATTATAATTATTTATTGATACGTGTTTTCTTTTTATTAGTATTCTGCTTTTGTTAATTTTATTCACACAAAAAAAAAAAAAACAATGATTGAATGTGTAATGATGGTGCATGCATTAGCAAGTTGACTTTTAGAGCCTCAAAATCAACCCAATATTGCATTAGTCTTGAAATCACATGGGTTGATTGTCCAAAAACTAGTCTGATTGGTTCTTAGAAGATATACAAATAGAAAAGGCCTAAAAATAGGTACCAAGTGCTAATCTCATCTGTCATAAATCACATTTCATGTGATTGAATAAGCATCCTTTTGGTTTCATGATTTTTTAGAAAGTTGTATTTACTTTTATCTTTCTCTTAAACACTAAAAAGAAGCGATACATTGTCTTCCTTGTCAAAGGGATCAAGTATGCATTGTCACCGAATTATTTTGTTTCAAGAAGAATACAAATTAATAATCTAACGATGTTACTTTGAAAAATCTCAGTTGATGATTTGATATTGCAAAAGCTTTTGATTGGAAAAAGTAAGATTCGAATATGAAACTTGGTATTATTTAAATGACGAACATTTATTTTTTTAAATTAAAATAATTTGTGTATATCAGGATTAAACTAAATAATTTAAAGGGAATAACATATCTGCCTTCAAGACGGAGAATTTCTATATGCTCCATAGAGAAAAACCAAGAGAGAGTAGAAATCAATGAAAAGAAAAAATATGAATGGTGACCCACTTGAAATTTTTTCTACCTGGCAGATAGAAATTCTCTACCTCAAAGACAAAGATGTTATTTCCTAAGTTAAATGTCTATAATTAACCTATTATATATATATATATATATATATATATATATAGGGAAATAATACTCTCATGCCACATGAGATACTCCCATTTTTCTACACAAATTCGTTTTTCGTGCCAATTAATTTTTCTTTTCTTTTTTAATATAAAATATGGGACCCACATTTAACTTCTCTCTACTTTTTTTATCTCCTGACCCACTTGAGATTTCTCTATAATCCTACAACATAAGAAAAGTTAAACCCATATATATATATATATATATATATATATATATATATAGGGAAATGATCCGTTTATAAATTCTTATACAAATTTTATAAATTACACTATCTTCTTTCGGGAGAAGATAATGTATCTAGTATTTTCTCGGGAAAAGAGTTATAAGAGTTTATAAACAAAAAAATTTGTAAATATAACATTTCCTATACATAGAGAGTGACTTTTGACCTTATGACTGGACCACGTAACCACGTTGATGAACTTGGGCTGTCGGCAGTTACTTGGGTCTACAATACCATTGTCGTAATGGTGGGTGAAGAAGATATATAACCCAAATAAAAATAAAAAAAGAGGTCGCTAGCCAACACACAAAGTTAAGGTTACAGCCCTACATGCCTCTTTTGTTTGTTGTTCTTTTATCCTCATTTTATTGTCTTTTTGGTTAAAGTATGGGGCTTCAAGGCCCAAGAAAAAGTGAAACACTCGACAGTAAATTTGATAGTATAAGGCCTTTGTTTTGAGAGGTAGAATATATATATATTTTTTTTACTATCACTCTAATCACTTTTGAATCTAATAGTGATTAGAATGGTAATAGAATAAAGTGATTACAGTAATAGTAGAATGGTAGTAAAAAAAATTACTAGTAAAAATATCCTACCTTTTGTTTTAATCGTTGCATTTTTTTAACCTTCGATTTAGTTTTGCGCAAAAAAAGCCGAAGGTGGATTGAATAAGATCATTTCAATTTTCAGGTGTGTTGATAAAATTAAAAATAATATCATTTCAGCTACGTCTCCGCACTGAATATATTATCTTCATAAAATATTAAAAAAAATATGAATGTGTGTTGAAGAATATTATTGATATTAACACAAGAAATCAAAATACTCATTTAATAATTTAAATAAATAAAGAATCACTATTATAAGCAATTAGTGACCTCCCACATCATGACATGATGATTTAGAGCCCTTTTAGATTGCTTTTCCAAAAAAGACTTTTTTATGTTTTGCTTATTTTAAAAATACTTTTTATAAAAATTAAAGCTATTTAGATTTTTAAAAAAATATTTGACTTTTTATTTTTATTTTTTTAAAAAAGCTAAAATTTCTAGTTTAAAAAAAATATTTTTGACTTTTTTATGACTTATATTTTTTTTAAAATGAGACATCTAAATAGATTTTTTTTGAAAAGTATTTATTTTTTTCTTAAAAAAAGCAGCTTTTGAAGCGAGAAATCCATCCAAATAGACTTTTAGTGATATTCTAGCTAAAATTCATTTTTAATGAATTTTTTTTCATTTTCTACACTAAATCTATTTTGAAATAAGTGTTATTAAACCCGACCCGGGCATCGACCCGGTCAGAGTATTGAATCACTAGGTCACTGGTCGGACCGGTTGACCCGGATATATATATATATATATATATATATATATATATATATGAACATATAAATTCAATTATATTCTTCATATCTAAAATGAATTAAACTTCATTAAATCAGTTAAAAAACATGAAGCATAAATAAATAAAAATGCATGCTATTACTATCTTAATATAAATTGCAACTTGTTTACCAAAAAATAAAAATAAAAAAATTGCTACTTAGAATCCTCAAAAACATACCTCTCAATGATATTGAGCTCACATTTTTCAAATTCAACTACATTAAAAATGGCATATGTCACATTCTCTTAATTTATTATTCTGCAAATTGCTTCAGTATTGGAAGCTGAAATTTTAGGTCATTATAAAAGAGTATACTAGCAAATAAAATTACAAAATGTTTTTAAAATGAGTTCTACATTTTTTTTGACAAGATGAAACAATTTGTTTTTTTTTTAAATGCATGATCCGACAGGGTCACTGGATCACCTGGTCACCGAGTTGGACCGGTTTTGTCCGGGTTTTGACCGAGTCGAAGCATGACCGGTCCAATGCTTGACCCGAACCAATCCTATGACTGGTTCACCGAGTTCCGGATCGACCCGGCCGGGTCGGGCTGGGTTTTACCAATGATGCACGGACACGGGACGACACGACACGACACGCCGACACGTTAATTCTAAAAAATGTCATATTTTGACACGTTGGGACACTTTTTGATATTAAATAAAATTTTTAATATATATAATATAATTTATATTTAATACATTTAAGAGTTCATAATAAGTCATATAATCAATCAAATATTTAAATTTCATAACATAAATATAAATATAAATAATTTTTCGTAATTTGTTAAATTTTCATGTCTCATTTCATAACAGAAAAAAATTAATTTATAAATTATTTTTTTTATATTTAGTTAACAAAATAAAATAAAATTTTAAAAATAAATAAATAAATAAAAACGTGTCCGAGCATCGACTACGTGTCTGAAAAAGTTGACCGCGTGTCAGAAAAACGTGTCGAAACGTGTCAAAAAATTGACCGTGTGTCCTCAAATGTTAACCGCGTGTCGGACTTGTGTCTGAACGTGTCCATATCGTACACGTGTTCGACACGCAAATTTCTCAAAAGAAAGCGTGTCCGTGTTTCACAGGGTTTTACAACTATCTACTCTATCTTTTCTTTGATAATTTGTCCCCCTAAAATATATAACCGTAACAAGGAGAAAATCTTATACAGTACTACGCCCTACCCTTATACACGAAAATTATAATACATATATAGTATAATCATATTTAAATACGATTAAATGGAATTTAAAATATTATTTACTAAAATTTAAATCATGAATTGGATGTAGTACTTATATAAGTACATAAACATGTAAATTTATCCTTAACAAAACTCCCGAGTTTGTCCTCTTTATACTTCATAAACCAATGATTTTCCAGACAAAAGAATAACCATTGTCCAAAATCAGGGTAGGTCCTTTTATCATTTATGCAAGAATTTCCCCTCTCGAGAACTCAATTGTTTGATAAAGCATAAGAGCCAATGAAGGCTTAGCATCGTACATGATGCCATTACTGTGAGTTAGTTTAATCGAGCAGGAAGATCAATGCACTGCACCCAACAACCAGAGCTTCACATGCTAGGTTCCTGGACAACCCGACAACCATATCCAACAGTGTGACAATATCTCAATAGTTTAAGGCAAAAGCTCAATGCATCACCAAGCACAACGTATTTTTTATTTTGTTTTTAACTTTATATATTATATTCAGAAAGATTCCAAGCCTTTTATGTAATTGCTTTTAAACAGGTGAATGACATTGGCAGGTAATGAAAGGCAACAGAAACTGTAACAGGTGCATTACATATAACTTCTTGGTTTTTTTTTTTTTATCAAACTTAAATCACAAACACAGAAGGGATGATGCAATTTACAAACTGCAAATCCTTCACTAGAACATGAACTTGGGCACATAGAATATAAAAACCTCCACAGACAGGTCTGGGGGTTTTATAAGCTGTGACAATCATTAGAAAAACTTATGGAATATAAAACGTCATGACAACAGAAAACAGTGATAGTAAATAACATCATGATTAAGGCAGCTTAGTATGAAATTCTGTTCAGAACAACACACATTCAGTTCTCGCCCCCAAGCCATTATGTCCTTCCTTGATCTGCTACCCTCCATAGGCCAGAAGCTTTTTAACCCCGTTGACAGTTTGATGGATACAGTTTAACGATTGATACTTCCTAGTTTCTGCTCATACTCTTTTCAACAGATCTAGGCGCTACAATAACGCCCAAAAAAGTTAAACTTGAATCAGATATGTTAAGTTATGGAAAAATAAAATAAAAATGAAACACAGAATACAAATCATGGACTTTTTATGTATTTTACGCGAAATAGCTTTCGCTTCACTGTATCAAATTGAAGTTGACAGTAGATTGGAAATAATTGGTAAAGTAAAACAGCTTAAACTAGGATTCTGTCAATCTCTCCCTCCACAGGTTTCTATGGGCAAAAATTCATGTACAAAAAACAAAGAATTACATTCTGCCACAATCTGAGTTAACATTGAAGGGGGCACTTTCCAAAATTGGAATAATAACTTACCTCTAACTATATCTGAACAGAGTTATTTTTTCAATTTCTTTAATTCCCACTGTCAGCATGCAGAGGTATTCTTGTGCAAGAAATTAACAATTTCCAATCTTCACTATGGAATTAAGACTTGTGTAATTTAGTGGCAGCTCGTCAACTAGTTGGGGATAAAAGTGATGTTGATAGACTTTAGTGGCAGCAGCAAATTTGATCACTAAGATCATATCTCTTTCCTTGCCAGTGCCAAATTGAAACAAATACCAGTCAATTGGAATTTTTCTATTTTAAAAGTTTGAATTTTACACTATTTAACCATGTCTACTGATTAATACCAGAAAAATTACATTCATTACTTTTCTGATACACTTCACTAATACCTTTTTAGACCATCAGCTATGGGTTGATGGTCTTGAATGGAATACTAACCTAATCCAATGGCATCGGAGCTCTTCATGATCCTTAGCCTCTTGCATGTCTCAATAAACATCCTGCACAGAGTTGAGGTATTAGGTTGAAATTAATTTGCTCACAGTGACATACCGCCAGTTACAATCAAACAAATATTGTTCAACTCTATTTTCCTGAGCAATTTAATGTGGAATGAAAAATGCTTAGCCTTTCTAATTCTATAATAAAATGTGTTTAAATTTAATCCATACAATGTAAAACTCCATACACTAATAGTAAACAAGAAAGTGCGACATTATTAGAGTAACTAAAATATTTAACTTCCAGTAATAGTTATTAATAGTTCTTTAAATGCACAGCACCATATGATTCATTGATAGTGTAAAAAATTTTTATGTGTCGTAGTTCAAAATTATATAACTATAGCAAGTTGACCCAGTTACTCACAAACATATGATGTGTGGTTTCTTTTTTCCTTTCTTTTGATAGGAAAATTACTTTTCATTTCAAATAATTAAAAATTAATCTTTATCCTAAAAGTTGCTTCATCATTCAATTATTGTGCCCCCAGGCCATTCAGAACCTCAAAAAACTATACAATTCTTCTATCATTATGCTAAAAAGTCGCTCCCCAAGGTCTCCCCCGAATGAAACAGTTGTATTAGAAATATGCTCTCCAGTTGTAAAATAAATATTAAATTAGTTATTATACATTCAGAAAATTAATCTTGATATTTTAGTATGCTATTACACGAACAGACTATAATCACTATATAGTATACAAAGAATAAGTACTCGACATCTATAGCCTCAAGGTTCAAAGTAGACATGTGACAAATATGACATCCTAACTTCGTTATTCACTTTTGAGATAACAAAATTAAACAAGTTAGACACACAAAAATTCTTTATTCCTTTTTTTCCTTTACCTTTTCATCGCTTTATGATGCCTCATATACACATGCACCTAGTATATTTTAAATCTCTGATATTGCTCCACAGACTTGCCCTAAAATAGGAAACTGACTCAATAAGATCCTTAGGTTGTTAGCCATTCCTATATATGTAACAAGGTTATGATACATCATCATACTTCCCGGCCCATGTAACATATTCATCAAGTGCATGATGGTGTAAATATTTATACATTCTAAGTTGAAATGAAAAGGTTAATGTCTGTGAAGTTACATTGTTAGGATACAATCACGTACATAATAACCACTGTGGTTTATATTCTTTGTCCAAGCCTGTCTTGGCTTTGTACAATCTCTTATGTCAAATGCCAGTTTTCTACATTCCTTAACAGGACAAGTTAATTTAAATTAAAACTACAATGTTGCAAGAAATGTGTTTCTTTTACTATTTTCAAAGAATTCATTATCTTTAAAAGAAAAACAATTACATAAAGAACTTACTCCCAGGGTACATCACCCACGAGCATCCAGTCGCCCTCTTTATCCTCATAAGTAAGAACATATTCTGACCCATGAAGGAGATCCTTCAGCTTGGATTCATTCAGCATCTCCCCGCCCATATTTCCATGAGATCCACATTGACCTGAAATCACATCAATATAAGCAGTAACTGGATCCAGGCACTCTGGCCTTATATTATCAAAAGGCTTACTTTTCAAATAAAACTAATTCTCTCCTACCTATGGTAAAACAGCTGAACATCTTCTCCAGAGCAGAAGATAGTTCTGTATATGCAGTGTAATTCTTCAAGTCTACTTTTCTCAAATAAGGAGCACCATCCATACTGACCTTCACAAACAATGCCCCAGAACCCACTTTTCCAACTACTTCTTCAATATTCTTTGAAGTAGTAGTCAATGAATTTTTCCTAAATGATCTTATAGGAGGCCAACCAACAACCTGTGCCCTGCCACATAAGGATCATCAGATGTCATTTCCACGTTTAAGCTCAAACCTAATGCCAATTCCGACTGTCCACTTACTTGGTAGCTGGTGCACTACTATGATTATTTGCAGAACCATTAAGACTTGGTCTGCTTTCATTGACAGCATGAGGCCTCTCAAGACTAACCTTCGCTGTTGCTACTTCCTTGGCTTTGGCTTGTTGAGCCCCAACATTCTCAAGCACAGAGCTAGGTTTCAACATCGCGTTGACCTCCGATCTAACAAGCAATTTATCCTGCATGATCAATTGGGGATTTTTACTTTTTAGTGTCTGGTCCAGCATTTAAAAAGTACACATCCCCTTTGAATTTGACTGAATTGATATATTTACCTCTGAGAATCCATTAATGGCATCTGAATACCCTCTTTTGTTACCCAAAACAGCAGGCTTTGAAGGAAACAGTGGTTTTTCATCAAATTGAGTTGAACTTGTCAAGCAAAGATCTGAATCTCTTTCAGGAGACTGTGATCCTGGAAGCCCCAGTCTGAGCTCAGTAGCTTTAAGGTTCAGATTACTTTTACTCTCATCTGAGAAGGATGGAACTGAACTGTCCACAGATGAACAATCAGATAATCCCATGTAGTTGTGCTCTTTTAATTTTGAGCTATTCAGACAAACACTTTCCATGGTGGCTGAGGAAGAAACCAAAGAAGTGACATTGCTTTGACATTCCTCATCCCCCATGCTCAGCAGCGGCCGAGACATCACAATTCAAACCAAAAGCTCCCAATTTTGAATACCTTATAAAAAAATAACAACATTTATCATTGTACATAAACCCAGAACCTTCAAACATACAGGAAACAAAAACAATTAATATTGAAAGACAACTGGACACACTTGATTTACAAACAAACTCAACAAGATGATTCATTCATCTCAGGACTTTCCTTGGCCTATTGTTGAAACATACCTTGGTTCACAGTTTCTTTTTTTTTCTTTTTTCCTTATACATATAATGTTCTTAAAGAATTTTGAAACAGGAAAGACATTGAATGAAAGTTCCATCAGTTTATTGGTAACCCTTTATGGGGAAAGATAGAGAGAGGCAAATCAAAGTTGAAGCCATGAAAGCAAAAACAGGAAAAGGTGAAAACATAATATAGAATTGAAGATTTGGGAATCCCCAATTCCTTGGTTAAACCAACAAGAGTGAACAGAACATGGAAGCTAAAGATGACAACGTTTTACCTGAAGAATCAGCAGATCAGAAGGGTGAAGAAGAAGAAGAAGAAGAGGAGGAGGAGTGATTTGAGACTTTGCTTGAGAGCACAAAGAGACACAGAATTAAATTAAGGCCCTACACTTGTCACAAAGTACCATAAGCTTGTTTGCTGTTCAATGGGAAACACCATGCATTAAAATACATTACGACTTTAATATAAAGAAAGCGTCTCAAGAAAAACACTTCTCTTTATGCGATCCAGTGTTATTGTCGCGGATTCGATCAATGTATCACCGGTTTAATTAGTCGATCATTAGTTTAACCATTTAAATTAAGGGAAATAGAAGTGTCATATTAAACTTTATAACTTTTTTTTTTAACTCATTCAAAAATGTGTGGAACTTGCTTCAAATTTTTTTTTCCTTTTTCAATAATAATATAAGTTTTAATCCATATTATTTAGAGTCAAATTCTATTAATGGTATTTTTTAAATATTTTATCTAAAATTTCACAAAATTAATTTTTTTAAAAGTCGGTGTCAGTTTAACATCGGTTCACTGATCCAGTAATTGAATGGATCGATTGAAAGTTTTGTTTTACAGATAAATCGGTTGGATCGGCCAGGTCAATTTTTATAACACTGATGTGATTTTTTTATTTATTTAAATTCAATTGAATCAATTTATTTAAATGCGCCAAACAATAGAATGAAACGAACCTGAAAGGCTTGGCTTTTCTGGTAGATTGGCTTGGCTTGGAACTTAGAAATAAATAGCGATATGCCAAAAAAAAGAACAATGTTGTTTATGGTAGATAAAAAGAATAAAATGTTATTCAAGCATGTAAAAGTTAAAACACAAAAATACAAATTTTTGCATTGACCATTAGAATATATCAAATACCACAATTTTATGAATTTTGTTTGCCATATTTTAAATAAAATGAATTTTGATTACTCAGCTCAAAGAGTGGAGTTCGACTCATAAAACAATGTCTTTCGATATTTTGGATTTTAGTTGAATATTGGGTAGGATATATTAGAGCAAACCTTTATGACTAGATAGTGAATTAGTTTAAGGGAACTCATTGTCTCATTTTACATGAGATAACTATCTTATCTCATGTTTCTCTCACATAAAAAGTTATGACATCATTTTTTTTCTTTTCTTTTCTTTTTAATGTATGGTGGGCTCCACCATATTATGTATTTATAGTAGGAGATACTTATCTCCTACAACATGAGAAAAATAGAACCCTTATTTTAAAACGGATAAGTTGTTTTAAAAAGCGTTCATATTAGTGCTATTTTCTTTTCCTTTTTTTGCCAAGCTAGCTATCCATATTAGTACTACGTAATCTGGTCCAGAAAAAGGGGAAAATGGTATGTGATTATACCCTAAAGTGAAATATCTCAATTTCATGCTGAAGATATACTTGCATGCTTCCATTGGTAAATACATGCTAGTACTGACTTGCAATTAATACGGATACGGCCACTTTGACTTGTTTCGGATAATTAAAGCAATTTCAATTTCCTTAATTGGAAAAATGGTAAACGAGAAAATCACAAATTGGATTGTAGTTTCCCTCCACCATGAAAAACTCTACAACACACACACACTTGGGTTGTAGTTTACCCTCCACCGTGAAAAACTCTACAACACACACACAAATTAGAATTATTAAATTTGATGGAGATGGCTAATATTTATCATACTGATGGAGTCCTTGTTACCAGGGCCAGCAGGAAGGCACATCTGACCTTATAGAAGCCTATTATTATTATGGGCCTTTAATATTATAATTTTCGTTTACTTAATAGTTTGGGCTTGGGCCCATAAATAATTACTATTAGGATTTTTTAAATTTTATTTATATTCTTTTTATAAACTGAGTGATTTGTAACGAATGACAGTGAGATAAATATAATATAGATCAAAACGTAGCTTACATTAAATCAATCATAAATTGTGGTGTGAATATTCTCTTTCTTTTCTATTATGCTATTCGTGTTCGTGTATAGGGGTGCTAAAAGAATAAGGGGCCTTTCAGGAGCCTTTGACTTGGCTCTTGAAGGCCTTAGCTTACATGTCTAAAATTGATTGTTGGAACCAGACTTGGACTTATATAAAAATTCGTTTAATAAAAAGGTCTCAGGCTCCAATTGAAAAGTTCGGTCTTAGAGCCTAAGGCTGGCCTAATATATTAATTTTTATTTTTATTTTTATTTTATATTTTTTATACTGCTTGTAATAGTCCTCTCTCTCCTCAATTCATTTCACCCCATTTTATTGGTTAAACATACTTTTTGACTAATTTTGTTCTATATTATGTTGTTTGGATATACATTGAATTTATAAATATTTATGGAATTACTAGTGCTGTTGATTGTATATTCTGTTTGGATAAATTTTTGTTGTTTTATTTTTTTAAAACAGGCTAAACCAGACTTCTATTTTTTGTAAATAAGTCAGGCCACATGCCAATAATTATATTCATAACAGGTAACAGACTTGGTCAGGCTAACACATTTAAACACAGACTTAACCTCTTAAGACTATAGCTCGGCTCGGCTCGGCTTAATCCGTTAACACCCATATTCGTGTGTGTTGATTTACAACAAGATTGAGTACGGTGACGAAACCACGTATAATGTGGATGGAGCCTTGGCCCTAGCTGAAATTCTATAAGTTGTCACATTTTAAATATGGTTAAATAACCGTGACAAAATAATATTTCATGTTTTAATATTTGATACCAACTAAATTTTTCTTGGCCCTAAGTAAGTTAGAAGGCTGGCTCCGCCACTGTTAGTATTGCATCTCATAGATTTCCTTTATTAACTAAGAGGATCCATTTCTTTATGGGGAATGATCGGTTACATGGTTTACCATGGAGGAAAAAAAATTAATGAGCTAATGAACCACTTCCCAGTTGCAGGCATGAAAAGATGCAGCAGTTTCTCTAAGGCACGGTTGTTTTCGTGGCGAAATTGTGTTTTCAGAGGAAACTAGGATGAAAAGACCGAATCACTGCCCTATGCTATCGTTACTTGTCATCCAACCTTTGGTTTAACATAGGGCCCTGATAATAACCATTTTTCTTGACGATGTCCTCAACTTTTCGGACAGTGGTTTTTATTACATTGAAGAAAAAAACAAAAAGCACCTGAAATGACATGCTACCCTCCCAAAAAAGCCTCCCCATTTTTGCTACGCTGGTCTATTTCTAAATTTTGTTTCTTTCCGTCTTTCATTATTAATTATAGTATTATACTGTTCTTCCTCATTGCTCTGACGTAAAGGAAAAACAAAAAAAACTCCATCCAAAATTGTGATTATGAGGACAAAGAAAAACATGGCATGCTCAGCCGAATACTCAAAATTATATTAACAATTTCACCGAATGCACTCTTTTTTTAATGAAGGTGGCAAGATTCCACCTTCGTATTATACACAGACAGATAATTTAATTACCATATATACCCTAGGCAGGCACATGCCTCGCCTCTATATGGATCCCACCTACGGACTTCCACATGTTGCATATGGCCCTCCATTGGCATGGGGCAAATATGGAAGCACGGACCAAAAATTGAAAATGACACAGTGAGCCACAAGATTTAAAAATAACTCCTGATGGGTTGTTCAATGGAGTTTTTTTAATAAAAAAAAAGGAAAAATAAATAAAAGGCGGGAATATAATAACCCTTTTATTATTAAAATAGAAAATAAACAAATAAAAAAAAAGTTGGATGGATTTTTGAAATAGTATAATTTATTTAATGTTTCTTCCATAAACAAAAATAAAATTATTTCCACTAAGTTTAAAATGAAATTATTTTGAGATTAGTTAAAAAATTATAATAATAAAAATTATTATAACTGTAAAATAAGTTAAATTTATATAAAAAAAAAAATTCAGTCTAAAAAAAATGTCACTTTAGGTTGATAGGATATACACTGTAAATACAAAAACAAAGAAAGAAAGGACTGAGAATTATAAAGGAAAACAAAGCGAAATGGGGTGCTGGGGGACAAGAAAGCGGCTTTTAATTTTGGATACGCCAAGTTCTGACAGTCTGACAGTGACAGATAACCTCTTTCACTCGGATCACTACCTATGTCATAGTCCCACGCGTTAAGCATCCGCGAGTGATTACACGACACAGTCATATCGGTCAGAAAAACCTCTTTAATATTCCGATGTAGGCAAGTAGGTCCCGGAAGAGCGAGCATGGTGTTGCTTTTTGATGTGAAAGTCACCACGAGTGTGGAATTGTGGATAAGTGGCGGAGCCAGCACATCTTTTTTATGTATGCATATTTAGGGTCTGTGTTCCGCAGCGCTGCCCCGATTTTTTTTTTTTTTAAGATTTTGATTATGATTTAATTTTTGCTTTCACTTCAAAAGTAAAGTTTTGGTGAATCAATCAAAGTTTCAAGGAAATAATAGATAATGATAATTAAAAATAAATAAATATCACAAAAAGATATTTGTAAAATATAGTATAATTATAGGAGTTAATAGATCAAAATTTCACCTTTGTCGATGTCTATTTGACCCAAAGTTGACCACTTATATTCTATAAAAAAAAATGAAAAATCTCGTGCGATTCTCCTTCACTTGATGAAGATTGAATTTCAAGAATGTTGATGTTTATTAAGATTTGGAGTTAATAAGGTTTATAAAAAAAAGACAAAACAATGAGCTAGGGTTTAAGCCCGTGTTTTAAAATCTCACTCTGCCCCCGGGTTGACCCGAGTCAACCCTGACTCCTCCCCTCTGAGGGTTGAGGACTTGAGGTCACAAGTTGGACCCTACATGCACATCGACCCATCCGATCCCCAAAATCTAGCCGGGTTTCAGTAACTCCCGGGTCAAAGAGGGTCACTGCATTTTTTTAAAAAAAAAAAAAATCATGAAACAACTTCATTTTATTAAAAAAATAAAATAAAAATGCTTGCAAACCTAACTCTAGTCGTCCTCTTCTCTTCTTGCGACCTATATGTCTTCAATATTCACCTCGCAGACGTGAATCTTCTAGAAAAGATAAGAATTTTATCTATCCAAATGAAATCTTTACGGTCGTCGATGGAAAACAAAAACGCATTCTTACTTCCTTTAAAATTT